ATGTTAGATTCACGACATTAACTCTTACACTAAAATAGCTTTCCAACACTACCCATGAATTATTACTTTCAGAACAACTTTACTCCCCCAGCCACGTCTCACGTTGTTTTCACTAACACAATTGGGTGATTTCTGTGGTGTCCGTCACAATCATGGTTGAGACAGCATCATAAACGAGACACCGCAGGCTGTGGCACATTTTTCTTATGAACAAAGGTTGTTCACTTAATATATTCTTCACAGTGGCACATAGATAAGCCAAAAAGGGGAATGAAATAGAGTTAAAGGCCAATACAAATAAAGTTTTAGCAAAGACGTTGAAAAATAATCACTTCGTTTAAAAGCAGGAGCTTCCAGGCCTTATAAACGGATTCTATATAGGCGTTAACTAACCCTTTTAGCTCTAACACCCATCTAAACGACATAACCGGAATTAACCAGCACACCGTACATTTATTTACCATTAGTTCTTCCATTAGGTTTTCAATATATTAGCTTTCCATTTGGTTTTCAATACAACAAAACCAGCCTTCAGTGTGTGTGTGAGTGTGTGTGTGTGCGTGTATGCTATAACACACTTTTTAGCGGAGTCGTAAACTCTCCTGATACATCTACTGACACTTTGACGCCCCGCCTCCCAGAGCCAAGAACCGACCAATCCGCGACCCAGGTACAGGTACAGTTTGCTTGAGTCCATCATATCACTAAATCTTTTTATCTACCGTTCAGTACAAGTGATGGCCTTTAATTTTAAGCTTAAATAGCGTGTCATCACTGCCCATGACTTATTTCGTCAGTAAAATTTAATTTTCCTATACAAATATCTCACACATGTCTACATATTTCTCAGTGAAATATTTCCAGTCCTTTATTTTGCTCTTCACTTATTGCAACGGAATAAGCAAGAACTCGCCTGTGTTTGTTTGCAGCCGCAAGCATTTTAAGAAAAAGGACATTTAAACGGGCAGAGAGCGGCGAACGTGTTCTAGCTTGGCGCAGACGTTGCATATGACCATCTAGATTCTTATTTCCATATTTTGACAATTTCGTGGCGTACACACATCGGATGGAAAATATGACCTCGGCTTCAATTATTGTAAAGTTTATTGGCGTTCCTGTATAATATACGCGAGTGTACGCTTCATCGATGTTGAAGGATATCAGTACGCTCACCCAAGCACATCCGAAACTCAACTTCCACAAATTTCTTCACACCTTTATCTGTCATCATATTTGACCCCCCCCCCCCCCACACACACACACATACCGCACACTTCTCTTATACATGTAACACTGGTTATTTTGTCGAAGGCTGGTTTCATCACATTGTCTTTTAATCTACCGTACAGTATATGTTAGTTACATGTTATTTATTTTTAAACTAAAATAGTTTTCTTACAGTACCCATGAATTGTTATTGCATTAGAACATCCCAATCCTCCCTGTCTCGCGTTATGTCTTCACTAACACAATCGGGTGATATTTGTGGAGTCTGTCACAATCATGGTTGAGACAGAATCAAAATCAAAACATAACAGCCTGCGGTACATCTCCCTTATGAACAGAGATCGTTTACTTGAAAAATTTTCACAGTGGCAGATAGATTAGCAATAAATAAATAAGAAAAGTGGATGAAAAAGAGATCAAGGCTAATAAGAGTAGATTTGGCCGAGACATGAATAAAAATCGAAACAATTCCTTCATCTCTAATAAGCTGGAGCGTCTGGTCAGACAAATGAACTGCACAAAAAGATCAGCTCTTTTCCATCTTGTTATCAATAGAACAAAACCAGCCTTCAGTGTGAGTGTGTGTGTGCGTGCATGCATGCTGTAACACAATTTTAGCGGCGTGGTAAACTCTCCTGATAGGCCTACATGTGCTGACTTTTTACCCCCCCCCCCAGGCCAAACACTGACCAACCCGCGGCCCAGGTACAGTTACAGTTTTCTTGAGTCCTCTTAACACTTTCTTCTTTTTCATCTAACGCACAGTTCAAGTGACGACCTTTAATTTTAAGCTTAAATAGCATGTCATCACTGCCCATAACTTATTAAGTCATTTCTTTAAGAAGTATCCCAGTAAAATTTAATTTTCCTATACAAATATCTCATACATCTCTACATATTTCTCAGTGAAATATTTCCAGTCCTTAATTTTGCTCTTCATTTATTGCAAAGCAATAAGCAAGAACTCGCCTGTGTTTGTTTGCAACCGCAAACATTTTAAAGAAAAGGACATTGAACGGGTAGAGAGCGTCGAACGTGTTCTAGCATGGCGCCGGCGTTGCATATGGCCCACTAGATTCTTATTTCCGTATTTTGACCATGTGGTGTTTTACACACGTTGCTCTGAAAATATGTCCTCGTCTTCAATTGTAAAGTTTTAGTAAAATGTCACGTATCTTTGGTCGGAAATCTTTGTGCACACTATTCTTAAAGTCTGTGAGCGTTCCTGTATAATATACGCAAGGGTACGATTCATCGCTTCACATTGACACATTATAGAAAAAATTAATCAATTAAAAAAGATAAAAGGATAACCCAAATCAACGTCTCTGACACAACCAGGCGTCTTTGATCCTCTTTACCTGCTGGAATATTGTTTGTTGTTCAGAAAAGACGAGGTCCAAGTGACATTTACTCAGGATGCCATGACGGGAGGAAAAGAACTCGAAAGGTGGTCACGATCATCGTGGAAGAAGCATGGCATTCAACGCATCCTGCTCTAAGACGGACAGCTTGTACCGCAATGAGGGCTGTTAGTGGTGAATAGTATTAGTACACACATTCAACCATACCCGAAACTCAACTTCCCCAAATTTCCTCAGATTTTAATGTGTCATCATATTTGACCCCCCCCCCCCCCACACACACACAAACACAACCCATATCGGACACTCACCCTGCCGTACAGTATATATTAGTTACACGACATTTACTCTTAAACTAAAATAGTTTCCCAACAGTACCCGTGAATTATTATTTCATTACTTTAAGAACGCCTTTACTACCCCAGCCCCGTCTCACGTTCTGTCATCACTAACACAATTGAGTGATTTTTGTGGAGTCCTTCACAATCATGGTTGAGACAGCGTCATAAACGAGACCCCGCAGCCAGTGGTATATTTCCCTTGTTGACAGGGATTGTTCATTTGAAATGTCTTCACACAGTGAAGATAGATTAGCGGATGGGATGAAAAAGGGGATGAAAAAGAATTAAAGGCCAATAAGATTATAGTACCAATAGATTTAGCAAACACATTACTAAATCGAAAGAATCAAGAGCCGCCAGGCCTTAAAAAACGGATTAGGCGTTTTAACTAAACCTACCCGCAGATCTTTTAAGCTTTAATACCCATATTAACCACATAACATCTTGTTTATCAATTAATAAAAGGCAGTTCTTGTAGTTTCAGCGCAAAGAGTTAATTAACGACGCATCTCGCCAAAGGAGGCATCATTCTACTACAATCCTAAGTTATCCGGAATACTTAAATTGATAAAAGTTATCTCAAAACAAATTTAGCCCGTTTTTGCAAATAGCTACTATGTTAGCTCCGTCCATAGAAGACCAAATGGTTTTTCGGCTGCTATCAGAACGAGTAAACACTATGAATTTAATTCTTTGATAAATTATGGGGCCCTCACCCTTATCGAATTTTAAGATTACGCAAGCTTAGTTATTTCAATAAGTATCCTTGTAACATACCAGGGGCGGATTTAGGCCGTCTTCTGGGTCTTCCAGAAGACGGTCAGATTTTCAAGTTTACATTGACGGGTATCCAATTTTTTATGTTGGAAGACGGTCAAAATTGGAGGATGAATCAACAAAGATAATTTGGAAGACTGTCAGTATATAGCTCTGGATCCGCCCCTGCATACATAACTTTTATTTGCACGTCTAACCTTTTAATTTTGGTGCAATCTTCATTGATCGTTTATCTTAAAGAAGTAACTCTTTTCATACGAAAAACCATGTTTTCTTTCAAAATAACCCGCTAAGAACAGGACATATAATCTGATTAATTAGCCTAGAACAGTTTCCCTTACTACCTTAAAAAAACTTGCATACTGGGATATGTCCCCTAATAGTACATATGGAATCAGGGGACAAAATCCAAATACGCAATATCTTCTTGTGGAAGAGTCCCTAATAATAATAATAATAAGGGAATTTTGTATTCCCAGACATGGAGGTCATGTATCATTGTTATATCTTTTATTTTTTAACTATGAATTCATAATCGTATTTAAAGACGCATCGCTTAAATCGCAAAGGAAGCAAAATATTTAAAAGTAAAGTTGGGGGTGGGGTGGGGTGAGGTGGGGAGCGGGAAGAGGTTAACGGGGATACATGTAACAACAAAAAATTCGGCTCACGACGTATAGGTAATAGCTTCTTTATGTTTACAATTGGATTTCAAAAAGTGAAGAAAAGAGAGGGCGGTCTCCTCATCCCCCACCCCACCCTCCGCTTCCTGATTGGCTTTTTTTTTTTTTTAAAGGCGTGCGTGCGTGTGTGTGTTTGAGTGTGTTTAGGGGTGGGGTAAGGGGGGCTGATGCCCTCTAGTCCCCCTCCATCTCCATCTTACATCTACAGAAGAGAAATAAATGCTTAAATGAAGAAATTAAGGAACAAAAACGAACCATAATAGCAAAAGCTTATTGAATAAGTCTTTCTTACATGTGAACATGTATGTCTAGCAGTCATAAATCGTGAAAAAAGTTTGACAACTGTATTTTAGAAACAGGCTGGTATGACATTTTGTGACGTACATGTAGTCTAAAGCATGGTGTGCTACGTGTTTACATCTGTTGATGCAATACCTATTTGGTCAACCCCCCCCCCCCCTCCGACAATTTTAATTGTTAAATTGTTTGATTTTAAACTTTAAATATCAATGAAATTCTGTTCGGAATGGTTATATATATTTTTACTGCACTCATGACCGCAATAGTAACATTTATCACTAGTAATGACCTCGAGGAAGACTGCATTACGCGTCACGTGCAATAAAAACAATTGTGAACTTAGACCTTATAACTTCACAACGGCGGGGGAGCAAAGGAGTAATAACAACAGCAGCTTAGTGTATTGTATTTCATGTAAAACTATGGGTATTTTGCCTGTGATATGTGTACTGAGTCTCATAACGCATACTCAAGCTGTGGATCCAATACAAATATGTGGTGCTGATGGATACGATATTACGAATTTAACCAGGTGAGATGCAAGGATCTATATATGGCTTGTGCAAACTTTTAAATCACGGGCATTATCTGAGAACATAGTCATGTGACCGATGTGCTAGCACCAAACTTTAAAGTTATATATATATATCTTATGTCACCCATTTTCTTATATAAAGTCTGCGATGTTGACGCTTACACTTTTACTGGGTATGTGTACCATCCATTCCTTATATCTGTAATATAGGGCTACCAATGTCAAATGATGTCAACTCGTACTTTATCTTTAAAATGTCAGGTCGTCATGTTGCCCCATTCAGGCCGTATAGTACTGTGTGTAGGTTGGGGAGGAAAGCGGCTTATCCTGAGCACAATAGTCACTGACATGTCTTAAGTCGGGCTTCCTTACGAGAGCATTCCTTTTTCACATTCACATACTTAAGCTACCTTCAATACTTTAGTACACGAGCGGAAAAACCCGGAAGTCACTTATGACTAAATGGTTGACAACAATTTTCACCGAGTCAAATATACATATTTCTAAACAACATGCGTGCTGTGCTTGCACTGACCCAAAACACGACATTATTTGCCTGTTCGCTGGTAACATTGTCTCAGCAGTGGCCCAGGCTACTATACACAGACCATTTCAAGTCCTATACCATTGCCACATACAGGTATAGTGGACCTCTCGCGGGTTAGATGCCATATATATATATATATATATATATATATATATATATATAGTTTACATATATATACATTCTCGATATATTTTAAGTGCTGGTTTTTTATCCTAATTACAGTGCTGACTACTGGGAGTTCTCTACAAGTCAAAAGTGTCTTCATTTGGGCAACACCACCACTTCAAACTGTACGTTTTTCATGGCGTTTTGTAAGCCTTTGCAAACAGGAGGAGCCAATTGTACCAACGCAGGCATCTGCCAGATGGATGATGACAACACAGAAAATGTTTATAGAATAGGTGGATACCGGCAAAACCCTTTCGTGGAACAAGGTTAGAAAACTTTCACACTAGTTCTTATATAAGACTATATCTGTTCATAGCGCATTGATTCAGTTACTCTTGGCACCGAGCGTTAGGCACGGTTGGGAATCTCGCTTCACATGTTCATTTTCTTCTTTTGCAGTAACGAATGGCTTTTACGCTGGATTTCCGAACGGACAACCCTTCACAACTTCTTTTGGAAAACCGTGCAATCTTTCCATTTTAATTGAGTTTAAATGCAACAAGAATGTACTGTGGAGGGCAAATATTGATACTTCTACTGTAAATCCCTCTGAGGCTCCGAATCCAACGAAGTTAGTGTACCACCCAACTTCTTGTGCTGTAAGTAGGATATTCATCTATTACCTTGTATTATGTCGTGTCTCGTGTTTCGGACCAGCTGAAAACAATAGGGACAAGACGCCATAGTTTTATAAAATAGCTCTACTCTTTGCAATTATATTTTCCTTCTTTTTAGGAAAAAATGTGAATTTTTATTTATTTATTTCGATGTTATCAATATAAAATAATCTTTCATAACCCGCTTATCGTTAAGTGGTCATGCACAGTGTTGTTGCCTTCTTTATTTCAGTATCAGCTAACTTTTGACTATGCGGGTGCATGTCAGAAAATTAGTCCAGCAACAACAGTAACTTCTTTAAGTGGATCAAGGACGTATATTGAATATACGTCCTTGAGTGGATGTACAGTGCTAATCATCATGTGAGTAGACAGAACAATTCATTTAATTATTAACTATCAACCATAATAAGCTATACAAAAGCTTGTACTTTATTTGAGAGCATTATATATTATTTACGTTATTCGGTAATCAGATTGCAGTGTCACCCACAATTAATTCGGAGGACACTGGAAACTAGCAGTGTTACGTCACACACCAAATAATAGTGAATAAAAACTACTTTTTTCTATTTTCCTTTTTCTTTCAGATTTTTGTCTCATTGTTTCTTTACATCCTTTTCGGCAGTCTAGCGAACGCGTGTGTGTTTGAGCAGACAAGGGTTCAGGTCCGTGTATTGTGGGGCAAAGTTATTTCCATTTGGTCAGAAAATGAAAAATCGGCCGTTTTTCATTTTCATTTGATAAATGGTCAAAATGAAATGGAAAATTAACCCCGATTTTCGTTTTTCCTTTTAAAATGAAAAATGAACAAACGATATTATTTTTCTACTTTTTTATGACATAATAAAAACAAAAACGACAGATTTCCAAACGTGATAGAAAAAACAGTAGAAATATCCTCTGATTACCCATGTCTAGAGAGTGAAAAATATTAGAAAACACGCCCTTTCTCCTGTTGTGAAGAATTGAAATATCGAAACATGTTCATTTTTGCTATTATTATATAGTTTCAATTTTCAAGTTAGTTCGTTTTTCTGATTTTCATTTCAGAAATAAAAATGGTAAAACGGAAGTATACATGTATATAGACACCCAGACAGAAAAATTGCAGCCCTTGAAAGTTTGACTTCACAAGACTCTAGGATTATCCCTGGTTTTGTATAAGTATTAGGAGTTTTAGTAAATAACTTCAAGAAGAATGAATTAAGGAATTTCAGATATTCTAAAAACTGTGGGCAATTATGGAAAAACAATGCGCCATCGCTGTGTGTGGTTCAGAAATATGAAATAACCCCCGTAAGTTAGTGCCTAGGTCTAAGTGGAGAAGAGATGAAGGTTGGATCTGTTTTCATTTTCTGACGAAATGGAAAGCACTTTGCCCCGCCATACACGGATCAAGTTGGACCCTCATATTGACCACAATCCTTTGTGCACAACAGCGCTACAGACCATTGTTGAAACAAACTTTATGGTTTGTTAAATATATAATTAGACTACCAGTTTAAAACTGAACTTGTGAGATTCTTTTTAAACGAAAATTTATTATTCGATTTCATTCATAATAAAGCTGCTTTATACCATTATTAATTAATTCTTAATTAAAACAAAAAAGTTTTATTGATAGATATTTTGGATCTTGCAACACATACAACGTGACGTCAATTGCGTCAATTTGTGAGCCATCTGGCATTATATTTGAAAAATAATAACCCCATGACGTCAAATTGTGAGCCATCTGGCATTATATTTGAATAATAATAATAATAATAATAATCTTCATCGAGCAATAAAATGTGTACGAGTTACATTTTGCAGGCTCTCTACTCTAGTCATAACAACTTAACAACAACTATACAAAACTATACAAATACTTATGTGATGATCACTGGGAAGCAGCACAGAATAAAACGACTATTGCTATTGATGGGTGTGTCGTTTTTCAAACTTTCAGTTATGTATAGATGTAAGGATCTTAAGCATGATTCACGTTTTGGACTGAGCAGCCACTGGAGTTTTTCATGATCTGTTTTCTGGTCAGGAGGTATCATGAGTCTACTTCTTCTGTCACCATGTCCTTCACATTTCCGTAGAAAGTGGATTTCCGTTTCAATTTCATTACAGTGGGGGCATTTACGATTTTCAGTAGGGGTTTTAGGAGACGTGTAGCGACCCCGTTCAATTTCTAAGTCGTGGTCACTAATCCGCATTTTTGCAATAGTCTTTATTTCTGATGGTGTGACTTTCATTAAGAGATATTTTCAGGGGTGTCAGTTTTTTTAAGTAATCTGTATGTCCTAAGTTTACTGTAGTCATCACTTTCCAGGTCTTTCCAAAATAGTTCCTCAATTTTATTGTTGATAGCATCTCTTAGGTTTTCAAAATTATCTAGTGTTTGTGTATCAGTTTTATGACCCTAACCCCAACACTGTATAAAAGTTCTTATTGATTAAGACCAATTTAGACCAAAATTATAACGTTGCACACGTAGCTCAGTTCATGGGGCTTACTTTGAAACCGGTTTTGTTGTTCTAACTCATTTCTATTTGGCTCTACAAGGCCAAAAGTGTCTAACTGGGCCGACTAGCCCCGGTCTTCCCTTTATATAGAAATCTTTAACATAAGAAATCAATTTTTGAATTCGACCGATCCATGCCAATCTTTTTTCGAGAAGCTGTTATATGAAATGTTTATGACTTCAAATACTTTCCAAATGCACAATATTTCAGAAACTTTATATGTATAACTTTTCCCTCAGTATTCCCCCTTCCTTAATTGTTTCTCACTCTTTACTGTAATAATGATTTGCTCGGGATTTGGTGTTACGGCGCATTCTACTCAATGGGTTTAGTTTATATAGGAATGAAACAGAAGTGAGCAAGCGCATGGTAGCCTATCTTTACTTGCCGTGAACTATCTTTGTAGGGCGAAAAGAGAAAGGCCGGGTAAAGATGGTATAGGGACATATTTTTGAATATGAAATGGTCTGTGCGTGTCACGCTTATAGGATCGTTGTCTTTGCCACAGGGTCTCTGACACAACCAGGCGTCTTTGATCCTCTTACCTGCTGGAATATTGTTGGTTGTTCAGAATACGAGGTACAGGTGACATTTACTCAGGACGCCATGACGGGAGGGAAAGAACTCGAAAGGTGGTCACGATCCTCGTGGAAGAAGCATGGCATTCAACGCGACCTGCCCTAAGATGGACAGCTTGTACCGCAGTGAGCACGGCTTGTATCCGTGTACAGCTTGTTGGAGGCTTTTCTCGTTTACTGTTACAAGGATGGGAGCGCAAATTTTCTATGAAAGGGGAGAATTAAATAGTTGTGCCCTTATTTGAGTTACATTCACCCGGGCGACAAGCCTTGAAGGAAATGATCGAGAGCTATTTATCGTATATAAAGACTTTTACCCTGTCCATGTTGAAGGGTATCAGTACACACACACTCAAGCACACCCACACCGTACACTGTCCTCATAACACTGGTTATTTTGTCGACTGCTGTTTTCATCACATTTTCTTTTCATATACCGTGTAGTAGGGGCCCTATATGTTAGATTCAAGACATTAACTCTTAAACTAAAATAGCTTTCCAACACTATCCATGAATTATTGCTGGAAGAACATCTTTACTCCCCCAGCCCCGTCTCAAGCTGTCTTCACTAACACAATCGTGTGATTTTTGTGGAGTCCGTCACAATCATGGTTGAGACAGCGTCATAAACCATACACCGCAGCCTACTGTGGCACATTTTTCTTTTGAACAAAAGGTTGTTCACTTAAAATTTTCTTCACAGTGGCAGATAGATTAGCCAAAAAAGAGGATGAAAAAGAGTTAAAGGTCATTAAGAGTAAAGTACAAGTAGATTTAGCAGAGACATTAATAAAAATCGAAAGAATCACTTCATTTATAAACAGGAGCTGCCGGACAGACGAATAAATTTCTTGCAAAGATCGACGCTCTTTTATTACGTGTTCAACATATTAGCTGAGAGACATATCTGAATGAATTGTTAATTACTTATTTTGTACTCGCACATATTTTGAAGATATTTGGCCTCTAGATTTGATTTAAATATAGCTGGTGTCAAAAATACTAATTTAAATCAAGAGATCAACCTATACGTGCAACAGGCAGAAACAGGATTTTAACGTAGAAGTTTCCAATGCACCTTTGCCTTACTAATGGTTTCAATGTAAGAAGACTGCGACGTGCAAATAAAGTGACACGGTGCAGCAGTAGTGAAGACTGATGTGTTCACTTTTGATGTCATTTTAGTAAGACAACTATTATGGAATTGCTATGTAAAGGAGTGCATAATTACAATGACCGCACATGACTGCAAGATTCCTACATGTAAGTGTGTGTTTGTAATATTATCAGTAATATAACACTAGTCCTTTACAGATTGTTTCTCTAAGCCTTCAAAATGGTGACGGCCAATTTGCAAGAGTTACTGGATTTGAAAACATTTTGATTGCATCTGAAAATCTGTATGTAAAAGTACTAATTTCAACGCATATATATTACAATATTTTCACCTCTATATAATACGCAACTGTATACAATATACATATATCCGTTATAGAATATATTACTTTTGAGTTACTATCTGTATCAGAATTCATAACATCGCATATCGAAGATCCGTTTTAAATTAGCGAAATTAATGTTGATGATTCGGATGGCGTTTACATTTTCGTGTATAAAAAATTTGATATTTCAAAGCCTGTCAGTCAGATTTGTTAGCACATAAAGTGGTCTCTGCTTTTTATAATAATTGTGTTCCATAATATAATGGTATTCGCCGGCTAGGTTGTTTCCACAAAGGTTACATAAATTGTTTTGCATCTCTGCATTTTGAGTTGTTGTAATTTTATTTATATCATTTCTACAGTGTACAGTAATCATCTAAAAACTCTAATTATTGAGGGGTGGATACAATGCAAGTAAAAACTGAAATGCTTTTTATTTTATGTCAAAATTGAGATAAATTTTCTATAGTTTTTTTTTCTACTGGAATTGCCACAAAATAAATTAGTTATAATGGCACATAACAACATAACATTCAGGTTGTTCTCTGAAGGACGACCTCGTGCCACTGAGATACTAAGCACGTCTGGACGTGAGCTCCGAAGAAACTAATGAAAAGCTAGGGTACACAGTAAAAACACGTCCTGGGGGGAGGGGGGGGGGGTATAAAGTGAAATCATTTTCCTTTTACCTAGGTCATCAGAAGGCTGTAACATTTTTCAAGTCAGCGTGTACTAGTAGATGAGTATCACAGGCAGTAGAAATAACCTACAACTTTTTGCCATGTATACTGTACATAGGCCTACATGTTTACTCCGGCTCCATTTTTCTCTGCTTTGGCCCAGAAGAAATAGAATGGACTTTTTTAAACACTCCGGACATTAACATTAATAAAAATAAGGCAAAAATGTAGGGGTAGGGCGTGGAGGAGGCCGTTGGGAGGGGGAGGGACATGGAGAAGCCCGTGGGGAGGGGTAGGGACGTGGAGAAGGCTGTGGGGAGGGGTAGGGACGTGGAGAAGGCCGTGGGGAGGGGCAGTGACTTGGAGAGGGTCGTGGGGAGGGGCAGGGACGTGGAGAAGGAGGTGGGGATTTGGCAAGATGGGACCAATACTTGGCTGTGCAATGATGGCAACGTGCTATTCTTGACTGAATGGATATTCTGAGAGCTCTAAGATTATCCTATACTTTAGACGCTGATGAATCAGAACAATTGCTGCTTTTTTAAAAAAATAATAGGTTCATAGATTTGTAAATTTAGAAAAACTGACGACCTTGTCTTTTAGGTTATTGAAGTTTGACTTAGTGTTTATGCTTATTTTAAGATAAAATGTTTCAAACAAGGTTCACGAAATTACTTTGGGAAGATTAATATTAAAAAAAAAGGTTGAAATATTAATTCGCATCATTAATGGCAGTAGTTTCAATTAGATTATATTTGAGACTTTGAAGCTGTTGACCAATTAGACTGTTTTTTTTTTTGTTAATCAACCAATGCAGCGTCCGTTAGGTAGTAGAGATACAGTATGTCGACCAGCTGTGGTACTGGGCACACCTCTCCAATTAAGTTATGAAAAAACAAAAAAAGGTATTGTGGTTTATGCCTCGCGTGGCAACTAAAAGTAGAATTAGTCAATACTATCGTGACATATTTACCGAGAATGCTTCTTTTTCATCAACATCTCACGCGTAGATTAGCATATTTTATTGAATATATTGTACCATGGTTACTCTCTAAAACACCATTTTTTGTCTGGGCCGTTAAGCAGGCCCCAAACCCCACACCAAGGGGGCGATGGTCGGCTTCGCATCCGAGGCCAGTCGTTCCGGACCCCTCCCCCTTCTAATATTCCTGGATCCTAAGCCCTGCAGCTGGAGTCGCAAACACAACGGCACTGTGAGGGCGTTTTGAACTATTTTATCCACGCTTTACTGCACTAAAATAAACTAACAAAATAGTTACAAGAGCGAATCAGCGGTTTGTTTGTTAAATAGGATAGTAATATTTTTGTTTACAGTTATATTTTTGTTTCCCATCCACTTATTATCACAGGTCCTTGCTAACATTTAGCCCCGCAAAAATTAAACCACTTACCTCAACCGCAACACGAATGTCACCTTTAATGAAGATGAATTAGTATCGTTTTATTTATTTATTTATTTATTTATTTATTTATTTATTTATTTATTATTTTGCAGAAAGTAGACTTTGACAGTAAAAGAATCTGTCAGTATTCCACACACAATGCAAAAACATTTATTCTTCCTACTTCCACTCACATACTGGGGCACATAGTTGTACTAATTTTGAAATAACCTCCAGAATGACATCAAATGTCATATTTCTTTACTTGAATCTTTTTAAATTGGTTTCTTTTGCTAAATTCTTCTTTTTACAAAATAGTTCGTAATCTAGAGTGTCGTATTAGACACTCTGATGGGTTCAGAAAGAGAACTAGTTTTGAAAAGATTTCGTACATATTCTCTTGAAATATTTTGCAAGTTAATTACTAACTTCAGATTTTAGCGCTCTCTTTCGGCGTACTCACTCTTTTACAGCAAGAGAAATCACAGTGCGCGATGATTGACATTTGTTTATATAACCTGCCAATCAAACTGTTATAACTTGACGGCTGCTATCAAAATTAACTGAATTTGATGGCACCTTGTCAATCAAAGGCTGTAAGAAGCTTGAACTAAACGTGTTCGACGACTAAAGTGATCCTCTCTGGTAATGATTGTAATTGACGTTTGTTTATATAACCTGACAATCAAGCTGTTATAACTTGACAGCAGCTATCAAAACTGATGAATTTGATTGGCATCTTGTCAATCAAAGGATATTGGAGTTTTAGATGTTCGAAGAGAAGAGTATAGTAATTATGTTTGACGTTTGTTTTAAAAACTGTCATTCATAATCGTGTGTGCTTGACAGCTTCCATCAAACTTGAAGTAGCCTGTTTGAATTTGATTCATACGTGTCTTTAACAATACATGTCGTAACATTCTGGAGGTAGGGGGTATTTTATTATTTTTATTTATTTATTTATTTATTCTTGCAGCGCGGTAAAAAACGTTGGGTTCTTTATTTCAACCGAGAGACTGAAAAACAACGTGAAAGAGTTCCGGGTTCTTTCACAGGCGTTTTAATTATACTAAAAATCAGTTGTCATTCTGTTTTTGGATATGATGTATGATTATTATACATGAATTAACGTTGTTGTCGATGTTTGTTGCTCCATAATCCTTTCTTTGGTGCTCGTTCGAAATCGGAACTTCGTATACGAACTGAAAATATTACTTTAATCATACTTCTTTTACACCCAATGAATATTTTTGGAACATTTTAAAAAAACGAAAGGTATAAAAAGTAAAACCTTGTCATTTTTAAAAAGAGCTATGGAGAGAAATAGGCAGAGATAATGATGTTAGTGGGCAGATAAAATAAAATAAAATAGTACCGGTTTTGTTCGTTCCCTTATAAAGGGCGTTATGGAAAGCACTTTTAACTTATGCGTTAATTAAATGGTCTAAAACTACAGACGACAAGTGGCGTGATTGGAACAGATTTTACTTCTATTCTTATTATAAAAATGTTTGTTCTTGCAACTTAAAGATAGATTTTATGTTCAATTTATCTTAAGAGAGTAGGAAACAAAACAATGATTGTCATGAACGGCAGTTTCAATTCAGCTCACGACCTTTCAAATATTTACAAAAGAACTCTAGGCTTTCAGTTTTAAAGGTGATGAACAGTTTTAAGTTGCTTTTATCCTAGCTGTATCTCATTTTAACACAGTTTTAAACTTAATTCTTTATACTTTATAAAGTTTTTTTTTAACATAATGCTTTAACATCACATATATATATATATGTAATTATTTTTGATAAAAATTCTTGTAAATGATGCTTCTCAAATTTGGAGTACTATATTATTGTGTTACTTCTTTTTTAAGCAACAATGAACAACATTTCAAACATGCTGATCATACATAAAAACAAAACTCAAAGTGTACATTCCTCAATAAACTGGAGTTTACTCCACTTTAAAATGATTCAGGTGTAATAATTATTATAAATGATGATAAATAATGAATATATCACTTGTCCTATCATGCATCAGCATCCTCAATGTTATCAAAAACATTGATGACAAAATCTAGAGAGAGCAATTTCTCCACAAGTTTTGTGGCTGCCTCAAGCTCCAGTCCAGAAAGTGTCCTGTAGGTGTGAGGTATGAAGGCGATGCTCTCAGAGAGCACTTGGTACTGCTGATTCCGCAGACTGGCGCCCACTTCACTCAGAGAGTCAGGGTCACAGATAAACTGAAGAGAACAAATACAATATCAGTGGAAATGTGGTGAGGGCAGAGGTTAGTGACCTTTAGGGTGACTTTATATAAATATGCTTCATTCCATTTATCTGTAACTTTTCCTGACCCCAATGAAAAAAAATAAAATAAATTGCAATATCCTGATTACAATGAAGCGGTAAAGATTGGATTAAATAATCAAAGATCAATCAATTAATCAATTCAAAACAAAATGGGCATGAACCTGGGAGTGAGCATACACATGTCTCTTTCACAATACAGATGTTGTCACTGCCTTTAAAAACTTACCCCCACCTACTATCACAGAGAGAGAGAGAGAGAGAGAGAGAGAGAGAGAGAGAGAAGAGTACAAAAACTGTACCTCCAGGATGTCTTGCCCCAGTTCATCACTGTCTTCAGAGACTTCCTCCGCCTCTACTTCAATGGCGATCTCCTCTGCTGCGTCCAGGGTGAAATCATCATGCACTGGTCTCAGCACCTGAACCAAACCTTTACGGTGGAAGGCAAACTTACTGGGAGACTGGCGACCTCTGCAGAGAACACACACATGTGAACAGAAGTGTAATATATAATTTTTATTACTGAAGAATTCTAAATATCTGTGGAATCTCCTGTCACTCTGACCAGTTTTTTTTTCATCTTCATTTAATTTATCTATTAACACAATCGTGTTCTGTAATCTAGGACTTTAAGATAATTCCACTGAATTTCTGATGAATTATACCTGTATAACTTACCCCAATTTCTTAAGATGCCTTTGGATTACACTTTTTGTGTTCTGAAGATTATCTTGAAGCCAGCATTCCAGAACAAGACAGCAGGCTCCAGGCCCCACTACCTCCAGCAGCACTGTCTCATTGGATTTCTTGTTGGCCTGGAAGGAAAAAAACTCACCAATACTGGGGACAATGTGGACAGTGACGGGTGAAACTAGGCACTATCAATACTGGCCTCTGACTTTTTTTTTGCTCTAAAAACATATTTTATGTACCAATCTAAATTTTGTAAAAGTATTTTTCTTCATTTTATTTTTCTATACCTTAACAAAATTATTTTTAGCATTAAGAGTGGGCAAATTCTATTTGCACTTTGAATTAGAAAGTATTATGTTAAGTATATACAAAACACTCACAATTCTGTCAAGAGCTTTCAACAGAGGCTCTTTTGGAACTTGTGCTGTGCTGGCTTCAGCAAGAACTCTGCCAATAGCTGGGTTGATGTTCATGTCAGTGCCTCCCTCTATGCCAAAATAGACAACATTTGATCTTTTTATCATCAAGGTTTTGAAAAAGAACCACAAATTTTACAAAGAAATATATATTTAATGATTCCAAAATTATGTTTCTGAAGGATTAATAATTATCCCCATTGAAAAAATGAGTCATTACCATAAGTTTCTTCTTTTCTACAAGCATAAAACTGACTATACTATTTAACATTACTTGTGAAGTGTTACAACTGGGCAGCAGCCATGGTTACCTTTACATGCTACCTCTAGTTTGGTAATGTAGGCTACAATCTTCTTGGACTTGGCCAGGTCTGCCGCTGGCTTGGTGTGCTTCAGTTTGGACCACTTGTTGTGTCCAGAATACAATACATTACCACAGTGTAGTGCACATGTTGGACTATAGAGGGAAACTCTGGATGTGCCCCTCAAAAATGGAAGATTGATGGTGGTAGGGTGTAAACTCCACAAGCCGAAACTGAGACTGACTTTACATTGGGATATAGAATATGTCTCAATGTCTTTGTTATGTCTGAGTATCCCTTTTATGCTTTCAGCTGCTCTTAGCTCTTCCTTCTCAATACTGTATCTACAGCCATGCTTCTCACTTAACTTTAAATAAAGGCTATCCATTCTGATAAAGACTTTATCTGAGCTCCTTGGAACATTATGTTTCACAGTTACAGAGGACTTCAGAGGTAAAAAGTTGCCTTTCTGAGCACAAGCTAGTTTCTTCTCAAACACACAAGAGAAATTATGTTTCTTTTCAGCATAATTCAAATCAGTTTTCTCCTCTTCATAATTGCCTTTTTTCAGACATCTTTGTAAATATCTTCTGATGCCATCAGTGCACCATTCTGAGGATGATCTGCACAGCCACAGGCTATTATAGCCGCCCCTCAACATGTCCACTGCAACACAGGGAGGGTTTCTGTCTGAAAACAAAACAGGCCAAGGGAATAAATAGAAAACAGATTATGGAGTCATGATTATTTAAAATAGCTGCTTCACTAACTAACAGGAGTTAGACAGGTTACTACTAATAAGCAGTTCAAGAAGTTACTATTAGGAACTTAGCACTTAGCAGCAGTAACTCAATTAATTACTGTACATTTAACTTACAAACCACACTTGGTTGTCACTTTGATTAGGAAATCAACCTAGTTCATGAACCTAAAATTAGTATAACCCACAGAAAAAACATTAAAATAGCATTACAGTCTTATGCTATGAAAATGTAATAGAATCACTGATCAGTACATGTACCATTTGGGGTCTCAGTAAAAGGCAGGCCTGACTAAAACACCCCAGAAGTAACATGGCTCCTTTACCCCAGTTTCATCTGAACTCCGAGGTTATACATGTAACGTCCAGGTTTACGGGGGTCTTGAATGGCAAATTTCACTCGTCAGTAGTGTTTAGGCCAGATTCAAAAATTACATACGAGATTTACAACTGAAATAAAAGGTAATTAATTAAGTGAACCAATTTTGTAGGTATCTAATTATTGATCCTGTGTTATCGGCATTATCGTGGACAAGTGTGAGGACTTTAACTTTAAGGCCAGCTGAGTGTAGGCTAGCCTGGACCATGATCATTTCTCAAGGCGATGAAATCCGATCTAGTGTTTTGCTCGGGCCTAACTTACATAAATAATAATAAAAAGTATACCTTTCAATTTTACCCGAGTAAACGCAGTAGTAACAACATAACAACGCCATCAACTCACAAACAACCAACATCGAGAGCTCTGTACACTGTGCATGCTGGAAGCGTGACACAAATCTTGTGACCTACTTTTGAGGTTACAAGATAGCCTTATTTGAAATTTGGCAAAATGTCAATAACGTTGTTTTTTTCTTTGTTTTCATGGTGCTTTACCAAATTAATATTTGATTTATAAAGTGCGAGTACAATTTAATATGACTGACATTTCCCAAAATTAACAATTTACATCGTTTTCAGTGTTATCCTTATTGTAGCGCCCTCTATAGCTATGTTATGATAACAGCAAAACAACGTGGTGGAGAGGAAGGCACGAGTACAGGATTTACATGTTCCACCATTAGACGATTTCTGGGACTCTGATTGAAAGGATCACGATAGCAGACTAATATTTCACGACTATAGGTAATCTCTTATGTTGGAATTCTGAAGCAGCAAATCCAACTTGTAATATCTTTTCCGCAAGCACTGCACAACTAAACCTTGGGTTCATGATAATATACTGTACTGGCCGGTACAGTACATGTACATGTACATGTGTATTCCTTTATCAGTATGAACATGACCGGAGGGTATATTATTGTGGCAGAAAGAATTTTAGTTAACCTGTTATTCTGAAAGAAATTATAACTCCCGAGAAATTAACTTTTGAGGAACACAATGGATATAAGTGTTTTGCGCTTTTTGTGCTATCCTCAGTTGTTATATATTTATTTATTGCAAAATGAATCTATCTCTCTATCTATATAATGCAAGAAAACGAGTAGATTTTATGTCCAAAGATTATAATGTAATAAGTTAACTGTTTATACTTTGTTTTAAAAAATTCACTTGATTGAATAATTACATGTATTTACTAAGATAATAAATGGATGGTTAAAACAATTATGTTGCACCCGTTTGTGCTTTAGCAATTTTGTATCTTGCTGGTGAAACTTTAATTGATAAGGACATTAACCTTGCTTAATTGTATTTATAAACCTCCTCAAATCTTAAATCTGTTAATGTAACCTCAAAGATGTTTTTACTTTCAGAATGACAAAGAGAAAAGGTCGAGGATTTGACCAGCCAAATTTGAAGCGTTTCCGAGCTTCTGTTGAGGAGTTAGCGGCGGCGACACCTGCTGGTATTGGCAGTCATGAGGAGCAGGGAGTTAAAAAAGGTATGGTGAACCTGAGGCCAGGGGGCTCTGCAGAACTGGGACAGAAAACTGGGAATTAGATACAGAAATAAATTTGATTTAAGACTGATTCAAAACGGTGGATAGAGGGTCAGATATGGCGACCCACTACAAAGCTTGCCATCTAATCCCCTAATTTTAGACTCTGAATAGATACTCGTGGGGAAGTATTCAAGTGGGTCGCACCATATTTGACCTTCAGACTAGTTATTCCTCTGTTTAGAATGCAGCCTAATTAAAATGGGAATGGATATTACCTGCATAGAAGTTGTTGTTTGATCATAGACATGGTTGTACGCAATCAGAAGTGTTTATGTTGATAATCCAATTGCCGTTACCTTGCTGGTTTGGATGATGTTTCAGAAAAAGTGTGACACTCAAAAACTGCAGTTTAATGTTAGTGAAATCTTCACAAAATGCACATTTGACATGTGTCTTTTTTATTTGCAGTTAGCCATATGCCAAGGAAGGCAAAAAGGAAAGAAATGCGAAAACTTAAAAAAATGAGAAAAGCTGCATACTTGCAGAAAAAGACAGTAAGTAGTGTGATTAGACCTTTTTCCATAGTGACAATTTCATTTTAGCTTCATGGTGTTGAATCATCATTACAGTTTATTGATATCCATTGGGATGAAATTTTTATCTTAATCATTTGTAAATTACATATTTACAGGGAAAAAGTGGGCACGTGTCTGTGTGTGTGTGATTCTGTTAAGTTGTCTTTCCTTTAGATTTCCATCTTATAGCTCCCACACAAGCTATGTATAATATGAAAAAAGCCAAACTGGTAGAGTTGACAACACTTGGTAAATTCATCAGAAAGAAACATGCAAACTGGTGAACACAGAACCTAGAGAATGGAACTTGTATGACATGACCTTTGACCAGACCTGTGACCTGGTCTGTGACCTGTTTTGACCTCACTTGACCTGACTTGACCCCTGACCTGACTTTGCTTGACCTGACCAGGTTCATAGTTGTCATAGTGAGACAGATGATGATGAATGTGTTTTTCTGCTACTAGCAGAATTAAAGATTTACCAATAAATATATCAGCAAAGTTTTTAGTACAAGTTGAAATTTGTTGTCACTATTAGCTTACAACCAACTCGGCAGGGGGCCTACTTCAGATTGTTGTGAGTAGATGTTGTATCTCACTGACCACTAGAACAATGAACAAAAATAACTTTTATTATTTAAGACAGTAAAAGCAAATGAATAGATAATCATGGTTATTTTAAAATACACAGTTTCCCTTATATTGCACTAGAAGTGCTCATGAAAATCAGTACAGTTATGAAAAAATTCAGTTTTGATTAGGATATAATTCTAATTCATAATCTGCCTCAAATTCAGCTACCTACTATGGAGAGCCTGAACAAGGAAAAGGAAGACATCAGAAAAGCTGCTAGTGATAAGCGTAAGAAACAAAAGAAGAGACAGAAAGAGAGAGAAAGAAAGAAAAAGAAGAAAGCAGAAATTGCTGAGGTATTGCAGCAGTGAAGCTGTAGTGTACATAACAGGTGGTATGTCCAAAAGTTGGAGAATAAAACCACCTTCAAATTTCATATCAGTCCCTCCAGGATAATACAAACAAAGGGAAATATTGAAACCCTGTAGTATAACTTAGTTAATATACTTGAAACTCTATGGTTGAATATCTGGTGTAATGTCAATAATTTGACATGTCTACTTGCTGAATATTTATTCAAAATTTTTATATTTCATTTCAAAATAAAGCAATTTTCAGTGTTGTAATATCATTGTCAAAATTGTTTTATCTGATTTGCTTGCTCTCTTCTCCCCAGGAGGAAGATAGTAGAATCCAAGGACTCCGAGAAGCCAACAAAAGAGAGGAAAAACAGATCAAACAACTAGAGAAACAACTGAAACTGAACAAGAGGAAAGGCAAGAACTTGCCCAAGAGTTTTGAAGAGGATGGTTTAGGGTGTATCCTTTAAAAAAAAATTCGAAGAAAGATTTGTTTGAAAAGATACTATTAAAATAATAAAAAATTACTACTATTAGACAGTGTTTTCTACTTTCAGTGTATTTTTTATTTAAATTTCATTTATCAATGTGTTGTTGTACTTTGAAAAAAGCACAGTATTTGACTTCATCTAAGTCCAGGGCTCCGTATCTCGAAAGTTTCGCTATGTTGCGCATGTGTGCAAGTGTCTTGCTTTCGAGATACGGGGCCCTGTAGTGTCTCATCCCAAGTCAGGTGTAGAATTGAATGTCCTGTGAAATTTGAAAAGTAATATTGAATAGAAACATCTATTACTGATCGTAGGGTAAGATATATATATATATATATATAAAATCTTATTTGAACTTCTACTTTAAGTTATAACATAAAAGCAGATTAGGTGACCGTTTTATGATGTGGAAAAGAAGTCATCATAGTTTGTCAATTCCTTGACTGACTTACACAGATATACTTGATGTAGTGGACTCGGAAAAGATCAAGGCTATGTATGAAGATGGCTCTGACCTTGAAGATGACCTCAACCTTGGATCTGACCTTGGGTCTGCTTTTGATTCTGATGGTAATGCTTGTGTGTTGCTTTCCTTTAATACATATAATTTTATACATATATCACTTTGTTAATAAAGAGGATTGACCTTTTTTTTTAAGTTATAGATCCCCTGACTGGAAAACAGTAGACATTTTAGTAAACAGATATCCTTACTGTATGAAGATGTCATATGCTGCACAGTTTATGTTATAACAATCTCTACACCTTTTCCAAAACTTTAAATGCCAAAACAAGGAATGTATGTGCTACAAAATGCTAAATTCAATTTGAAAAATCTGAAACCAAGCTTAAGGTGGAGAATGGCACAATGACATGGTTCTGGTTTGTTAAACTGAAAGACCTGTGGATTCACGAAAACTGGAGTACAATCTATGAAATGAGTTGCATTATTCTTCAAATTCCTTAATTTGACCATGTAAAATGTTCATTTAATCCTACACTTTGTGTTGTTGCTGACACATCATACGAAGAAATGGCAATATTAAGAATGACATTTTAATAGATCTTAAAAAAACTTTTTTTAAAACCTGTAAAAGGCAAGATTTTCAACTTAATAATTTTAATTGACATAAATGTCTTATTGTGTTTATGCCTGGAGTACATTTTAGAGTAATAAAGTAGTCCTGTAATACCAGATATGAAAAGTTTAATGCCAACACTTATTCCTTTCTCAGGTTCTGGGGATGATTTTGAAAAGGATGATGAAGATGATGATGGAGGTCCAGAAGGGATCAATACGGATGAGGATAGAGAAGAAGAAGATAATGATGATGAAGAGGAGGATGAGGAAGATAACAGTCTTGGCAGTGAGCAGGAAGATGACAGTGATAGAGATGAGGTGATGACAGGAGATGACAGTGACAATGATGACATTACTGGTGACATTGTAGAAAACAGTGGAGGAGATGATGATGAGTTGAATGATTCAAGTAAACTGTTAAAGAAAACTAAGGATGGAAAGTTAAAAAGAACTACCACAAATTCTATGCAAGAGAAAGAATTAAAAGTAAGGACTACCAGTGAAACCAAAAAAGACAAATTGAGCAAATATACAAAAAGTACAAGGTGGAAAGATGGTGAAGAGACAGAAAGTAGTGAAATGGAAGAAAGTGACACTGATGATATGGCAGCATGTGCTGAAGAGGCAGGCGACAGTGCCACCGAAGGTGAAGAAGGGGAAGACTCTGAACAGACAGAATATCGTGAAGACATTTACGGTAGATTGAGGGATAGACATGGAAACATTGTCCAGGGTAAGGGACACAATGCAGCATATGTTCCACCAGGAAAGAGACTAGAAATGATGGAAGGAAGGAGTGAAAAGAAGAAAGTAGAACTAGAAAGATTGAAAAAGCAGCTGAAAGGTTTGGTTAACAGGTGAGAGTTATTTGATATAAGCCTTTGCATTAGTTGTGGTGCTAACTTGTTGAATTTAAAACATTGACAAACATGCTTTCATTCTGACACTACAAAAACACATAAACTACTTTTCTCCATTTTATCTTAATGATTTACCATTTGGGTTAAAAAAATATCATTTGACCAAACGCAACTAATTTCGTAAATAAATGAATTGCTAACAAAAAATTTTAAGAAGTTTAATGTTTTTAAAGTTATTATAATACAATATGATTTATCTTATTGCTTGTTATTATGCTTTTTTAAAATGAAATATTTCTTACAACCTTATGAAATCAAAACATTAAGACCAATTTTTGGCTAAAGATCTTTTACAAGCCCAGCCCCAGGTGTGATGGAGAATGTTGAATGATCGAGAACTTCAGTTTCTGTTCAAACTGTTGATGACGTTTTCAGAGTGTCAGAGTCCAATATGCAGCCAATTAGTCACCAGATTGAGGACTTGTTCCGTAGACACAGTAGAGCAGACATGAATGGGATTCTGACGTCTTTAGTCTTGGAATCCTGTACGTCCAATGTCCTGGTGCCAGAGAGGCTTGTCTTGGATATAGTGATGTTAGTGGCCATTTTGCATGGGAATGTTGGGAGTGAAGTTGGTACGTAGAAAATCAATTTTTCTTCTTCTGAATAACAAAGTTGTGTCAGATTTTTTAAAATTTACTTTTTAAATGTATTATCAAAACACAAATGATGCTGAGCCATGTATTTTAAATGACATATACATCTCTCAAGATATTTAAGATACATAATTATGATCATTGACTAATTCTGAATCATCTTAATATTTGACTCCCAGGTGCTCACTTCATACAAACAATTGCTGTAAAATTTGACAGTTTGTTCAGAAGCAGTGACAACTATGGTGGGAACAAGGAGGCAGACAACTTACTGCTGATCCTGGCACACTTGTACAACTTCAAGGTAAAACCTGCCTGTGATGTTAACTAACTCCTTGCTTAATGACAGTTAGATTACAGCATGACTAGTAAAATTTGGTAAAATGTTCAGTTACTAGGCACTGTCTTAATTTTGCTTTATGTGAGTGGATTCTAAGACCTTGGTGGCTGGAAGTCACTGTACACTATGAAGCCTTTTGCAAGGATTGTAAAACTGAAACTAGCATGAATAGGCATGAATTATCACTCAATGATACAGTGGGAGCATGTGGGAATTAAGGTTTATTTTTAATAGCAAATTTGTATTGTAACTGTTGAAGTGTTAGGTGTTATTTTTTTCTGTTAGTTTTTGTAAAACACAATTTGCAAACAGTAAGATTGGCCAGTAAAGGCTGCAAGGTGCCTCAGTTATAACTGTTTATCCAGTTTGCCTGAGTTATAGCACTTATCACTGCCTCTTACAATCTGCACACAGAATATCTGTTCTTTATTTTCTTTACTTTGGCAGGCTAAACATATAAGTTACATTTATCAAGCCACAACTACACAATCAATTAAAAATAAAGTTTGCACTAGTTACAAATGTATAATGTTGCAGAAGTGCAGCTTTGGGCCTTTAGAGCTATTTTATGGTTTTTTTAAACCAGCATGATATTTAGTAACCTCCATATTTTCACAGTAGTTACTGGCTTGATGTGTTCTCTGACCCCAGGTCACTCACTGGGTCCTCGTAGTGGATGTGATGTCCAGGCTGGCTGACCGCTTCCAGGAGAAGGATATCGAACTGCTGTTACTGCTGTTGAAAAGTAAGTATCATGGGGGGGGGGGATGGTTAGCTCGGAATAGGTTTCTGCCAAAACACTGAACTTTTATAACAAACGTTATTTTAAACCAAGAGTTCTGACTTAGGATCTGCTGTTGGGTTAAGATGGGTTTTTTTCCTTTGGTGCACTGGTAATGTGTANATAGCAAATGAATAGATAATCATGGTTATTGTAAAATACTCAGTTTCCCTTATATTGCACTAGAAGTGCTCATGAAAATCAGTACAGTTATGAAAAAATTCATAGTTTTGATTAGGATATAATTCTAATTCATAATCTTCCTCAAATTCAGCTGCCTACTATGGAGAGCCTGAACAAGGAAAAGGAAGACATCAGAAAAGCTGATAGTGATAAGCGTAAGAAACAAAGGAAGAGACAGAAAGAGAGAGAAAGAAAGAAAAAGAAGAAAGCAGAAATTGCTGAGGTATTGCAGCAGTGAAGCTGTAGTGTACATAACAGGTGGTATGTCCAAAAGTTGGAGAATAAAACCACCTTCAAATTTCATAGCAGTCCCTCCAGGATAATACAAACAAAGGGAAATATTGAAACCCTGCAGTATAACTTAGTTAATATACTTGAAACTCTATGGTTGAATATCTGGGGTAATGTCAATAATTTGACATGTCTACTTGCTGAATTTTTATTCAAAATTTTTATATATCATTTCAAAATAAAGCAATTTTCAGTGTTGTAATAATAATAATAATAATAATAATAATAATAATAATAATAATAATAATAATAATAATAATAATAATTATTATCATGACATCATTGTCAAAATTGTTTTATCTGATTTGCTTGCTCTCTTCTCCCCAGGAGGAAGATAGTAGAATCCAAGGACTCCGAGAAGCCAACAAAAGAGAGGAAAAACAGATCAAACAACTGGAGAAACAGCTGAAACTGAACAAGAGGAAAGGCAAAAACTTACCCAAGAGTTTTGAAGAAGATGGTTTAGGGTGTATCCTTTAAAAAAAAATTTGAAGAAAGATTTGTTTGAAAAGATACTATTAAAATAATAAAAAATTACTACTATTAGACAGTGTTTTCTACTTTCAGTGTATTTTTTATTTAAATTTCATTTATCAATGTGTTGTTGTACTTTGAAAAAAGCACAGTATTTGACATCATCTAAGTCCAGGGCTCCGTATCTCGAACGTTTCTCTATGTTGCGCATGTTTGCAAGTGTCTTGATTCCATAACTCGCCCATACTCGTCCCATATAATACATTGTAGCCTCTATTCAATATAGCGATTCGCAATACGCGATGCTTTCGAGATACGGGGCCCTGTAGTGTCTCATCCCAAGTCAGGTGTAGAATTGGATGTCCTGTGAAATTAGAAGTAATAATAAAGTAATATTGAATAGGAACATCTATTACTGATTGTAGGGTAATATATATATATATATATATATATATATATATATATATATATATATATATATATATAAAATCTTATATATATATATAAAATCTTATTTGAACTTCTACTTTAAGTTATAACATAAAAGCAGATTAGGTGACCGTTTTATGATGTGGAAAAGAAGTCATCATAGTTTGTCAATTCCTTGACTGACTTACACAGATATACTTGATGTAGTGGACTCGGAAAAGATCAAGGCTATCTATGAAGATGGCTCTGACCTTGAAGATGACCTCGACCTTGGATCTGACCTTGGGTCTGCTTTTGATTCTGATGGTAATGCTTGTGTGTTGCTTTCCTTTAATACATATAATTTTATACATATATCACTTTGTTAATAAAGAGGATTGACTTTTTTTTTAAAGTCATAGATCCCCTGACTGGAAAACAGTAGACATTTTAATAAACAGATATCCTTACTGTATGAAGATGTCATATGCTGCACAGTTTATGTTATAACAATCTCTACACCTTTTCCAAAACTTTAAATGCCAAAACAAGGAATGTATGTGCTACAAAATGCTAAATTCAATTTGAAAAATCTGAAACCAAGCTTAAGGTGGAGAAAGGCACAATGACATGGTTCTGGTTTGTTAAACTTAAAGTCCTGTGGATTCACGAAAACTGGAGTACAATCTATGAAATGAGTTGCATTATTCTTCAAATTCCTTAATTTGACCATGTAAAATGTTCATTTAATCCTACACTTTGTGTTGTTGCTGACACATCACATGAAGAAATGGCAATATTAAGAATGACATTTGAAAAGATCTAAAAAACAACACTTTTTAAAAACCTGTAAAAAGGCAAGATTTTCAACTTAATAATTTTAATTGACACAAATGTCTTGTGTTAATGCCTGGAATACATTTTAGAGTTATAAAGTAGTCCTGTAATAAGAAAAATGCTAAAAAAAAAAGATTAATAAAATAAAAAGATTAATGCTAACACTAATTCCTTCCTCAGGTTCTGGTGATGATATTGAAAAGGATGATAATGATGATGAAGGTCCAGAAGACCAGGGGCTGAACGTGGATGATGACAGAGAAGAAGAAGATAATGATGATGAAGAGGAGGAGGAGGAAGATAACAGTCTTGGTAGTGAGCAGGAAGATGACAGTGACAGAGATGAGGTGATGACAGGAGATGACAGTGACAATGATGACATTACTGGTGACATTGTAGAAAACAGTGGGGGAGATGATGATGAGCTGAATGATTCAAATAAACTGTTAAAGAAATCTAAGGATGGCAAGTTGAAAAAAAGTACCACAAATTCTATGCAAGAGAAAGAATTAAAAGTAAGGACTACCGGTAAAACCAAAAAAGACAAATTGAGCAAAAATACAAAAAGTACAAGGTGGAAAGATGGTGAAGAGACAGAAAGTAGTGAAATGGAAGAAAGTGACACTGATGATATGGCAGCATGTGCTGAAGAGGCAGGCGACAGTGCCACCGAAGGTGAAGAAAGGGAAGACTCTGAACAGACGGAATATCGGGAAGATATTTACGGTAGATTGAGGGATAGACGTGGAAACATTGTCCAGGGTAAGGGACACAATGCTGCATATGTTCCACCAGGAAAGAGACTAGAAATGATGGAGGGAAGGAGTGAAAGGAAGAGAGTGGAACTAGAAAGATTGAAGAAGCAGCTGAAAGGTTTGGTTAACAGGTGAGAGTTATTTGATACATGCCTTTGCATTAGTTGTGGTGCTAACTTGTTGAATTTAAAACATTGACAAACATGCTTTCATTTTGACACTACAAAAATACATAAACTACTTTTCTCCATTTTATCTAAATCATTTACCATTTGGGTTAAAAAATATAATTTGACCAAATGCAACCAATTTCATAAATAAAATGAATTGCCAACAAAATATTTTAAAAAGTTTAATGTTTATAAAGCTATTGTAATACAATATGATTTATCTTATTGCTTGTTATTATGCTTTTTTTAAATGAAATATTTCTTACAACCTTATGAGATCAAAACATTAAGGCCAATTTTTGGCTAAAGATCTTTTACAAGCCCAGCCCCAGGTGTGATGGAGAATGTTGAATGATCGAGAACTTCAGTTTCTGTTCAAACTGTTGATGACGTTTTCAGAGTGTCAGAGTCCAATATGCAGCCAATTAGTCATCAGATTGAGGACTTGTTCCGTAGACACAGTAGAGCAGACATGAATGGGATCCTGACGTCTTTAGTCTTGGAATCCTGTACGTCCAATGTCCTGGTGCCAGAGAGGCTTGTTTTGGATATAGTGATGTTGGTGGCCATTTTGCATGGGAATGTTGGGAGTGAAGTTGGTGCGTAGAAAACTGATTTTTCTTCTTCTAAATAACAAAATTGTGTCAGATTTTTTATATTTACTTTTTAAATTTATTATCAAAACATAAATGATACCGAGCCATGTATTTTAAATGACATGTACATCTCTCAAGATATTTAAGATACATAATTATGATCATTGACTAATTCTGAATCATCTTAATATTTGACTCCCAGGTGCTCACTTCATACAAACAATTGCTGTAAAATTTGACAGTTTGTTCAGGAGCAGTGACAACTATGGTGGAAACAAGGAGGCAGACAACTTACTGCTGATCCTGGCACACTTGTACAACTTCAAGGTAAAACCTGCCTGTGATGTTAACTGACTCTTTGCAAAATGCCAGTTAGATTATAGCATGACTAGTAAAATTTGGTAAAATGTTCAGTTACTGGGCACTGTCTGAATTTTGCTTTGTGTGGGTGGATTCTAAGACCTTGGTGGCTGGAAGTCACTGTACACTATGAAGCCTTTGGCAAGGATTGTAAAACTGAAACTAGCATGAATAGGCATGAATTATCACTCAATGATACAGTGGGAGCATGTGGGAATTAAGGTTTATTTTTAATAGCAAATTTGTATTGTAACTGTTGAAGTGTTAGGTGTTATTTTTTTCTGTTAGTTTTTGTAAAACACAATTTGCAAACAGTAAGATTGGCCAGTAAAGGCTGCAAGGTGCCTCAGTTATAACTGTTTATTCAGTTTGCCTGAGTTATAGCACTTATCACTGCCTCTTACAATCTGCACACAGAATATCTGTTCTTTATTTTCTTTACTTTGGCAGGCTAAACATATAAGTTACATTTATCAAGCCACAACTACACAATCAATTAAAAATAAACAAAGTTTGCACTAGTTACAAATGTATAATGTTGCAGAAGTGCAGCTTTGGGCCTTTAGAGCTATTTTATGGTTTTTTTAAACCAGCATGATATTTAGTAACCTCCATATTTTCACAGTAGTTACTGGCTTGATGTGTTCTCTGACCCCAGGTCACTCACTGGGTCCTCGTAGTGGATGTGATGTCCAGGCTGGCTGACCGCTTCCAGGAGAAGGATATCGAACTGCTGTTACTGCTGTTGAAAAGTAAGTATCATGGGGGGGGGGGGGGGGATGGTTAGCTCAGAATAGGTTTCTGCCAAAACACTGAACATTTATAACAAACGTTATTTTAAACCAAGAGTTCTGACTTAGGATCTGCTGTTGGGTTAAGATGGGTTATTTTCCTTTGGTGCACTGGTAATGTGTGCACTAGTTACTGTAGAGCTGAGCAGTTTCTTTGGTGCGCTGGCCATGTGTGCACTAGTTACTGTAGAGCTGAGCAG